CAGGGTCCATAGCACTTTTACTGTCCCATACTCCTTTTCTTTTCTCTGGTGAAGCAGCAAACTAGACTTTGTGTAGTGACTGTGCTCATTCCCTTGTGTGCTGGGCAGTGTCATGAACCATGAGGTATCCATTGCTAGTAGCCGTTATAGGGCACATAGGTAACTAAGCCCAGGGAATTGGGGTCGTTTCTGGTAGAGTTACTGGAGTGTTCATTGTTGCTGATTCCCTAGGTATTAGTTAGGTTAGTGTGGTCTGCTGCACAGGGGCAGGGACCACTCTTCTTGCAGCATGAGTGTTAGAGGAGATGCCCTTTGAGCAAGGCTACTACCATTCTGAGAGAAGGAAATGAAAATGGTCAGAAGAGACATGATTTTGTAGGAAACCAAGAATTATGATATGAGAATATATATAGATTTGAAATTGTGTATATCATATTTTCAAAATTTGAAGTACGTTGTTTTATACTTTGAATTGTTTTAATAAAAAATGATAATTACTAGCCAGGCATGGTGGCTTGTGCTTCTCTGGAGGCTGAGGTGAGAAGGTTGCTTTAACTCAGGAGTTCGAGGAGACACTGAGCCCTGTTTGTGCTGCTCCACTGCACTCCAGCCTGGGTGACAGAGCTAGCCCCTCTTGTGTAGTTTGCCTTTTTATAGAGATAATATTTTTAGCTAGCCTGAGGGCTTCAGGGATACTGAACTCCACTAGTAATTTTGTTGTTTTTGAGCTTTCAAAGCCCTTGAGAAAAGGAGCTGCTTTGCTTACAATGTGATTACATTGGAAATAGTGCTCCTCTATTTTTGCTCACATGTATACACTTTGGCTAACTGAGGATTTGAATCTGAAAAGTATACTAGTGATACAGGTTTATTTTTATGCATACATTATTTATATTTTTTCCTCGTTTCAAGTTTTAATCAAAGCTTGTGTATAAGATTCCTTTATTCCTGCATCTTCTCAGTTGTTTCTTCCTGGTATTTGCCCTTTTCCTCTCCTACTTGGCGAGGTTTGGCTTTCTGTTCAAGGATCTGTTTGCGGTCTTTGTCCCGTTTTAGCCTAGTGATAACCACCTTGCTGGGGTGAATGCCTCCGTGGACAGTTGTGCCATTAGCCTTTTCCCGCTGTACCCGTTCAATGTAGATTACGTATTTCTTCCTGTAAACCTGGACTACTTTGCCAATCTGCTGACCTTTATAGTGTCCTCGTACAACCTGAACCTCATCACCCTTTCGGATGGGCATGGATCGCACGTTGTACTTCTGTCTCAGCTCTTTGGAAAGAGGGAGGACACAATCTTCCTGCGAATGTGGGAAGGTGCATTGAAATGCCTTTTGCGATTCTTGCTTCGGTTGGAAGTCACAAAGGGATTGAACTTCATTTTGGCAGCTCCCGCTTAGGTGATGGCCGCAAAAGGGCTGCATACATTATTTTTAAACTTAGAGACTTAAATGTTAGCAGTAATGTCCATTTAAGTAGTATATAGGTTTTAATTAGACATCCCATGTTCTCCGTATACTAAGACCAGGAAGCAGTCTTCTAGTTATTAAAAGTGGAGTGTATTTCTTACTAGTTGACAAAACATGGGCTTTGGAGTCAGACCTAGTTTCCAGCCCTGAACTTAGTACTTCATAATCTCTGGTACTTGGTGTTCTCTGTAGCAGTGTAAAAATAATACCATCTACTTTGTAGAGTGGTTGTAAGAATTATGATAGATCAGTCTTTCCTAAATACTTGTGCTATAAAATGCAACTACGTCTCTGAAGAAGTAATTCCACAAACATGTATGTCTAGAGACTTAACACTGGAAAGTGCAGCATTTTCTGTTCTTTTACAGGTTCTCACTGTGTATTAAGACATTAGTCCTATGGTCAAGAAATCTGCTTTTCTTTTTTCACCACTGCATTTCCCAACCAGAATTCTCTTCCTCTTTCCCAATCCCCTGCTCCCCTCTACAACACCTGCAGTCTATTATAGTTTATTTTTGTTTCATGAAACATAGTTTAGAAAATAAAAGTGCCTAGCACAGTGTTCCTAATTCATACTGGATAAATGGTTTCATTTCCTCCTTTGAGTGTTAATTTTAATGGTTTTAAAACTGTTGTATGCTGGGCGCAGTGTCTCACGTAGTCCCAGCATTTTGGGAGGCCATGGTGGGTGGATCACTGGAGGTCAAGAGTTTAAGACCACCGTGGCCAACATGGTGAAACCCCATCTCTACTAAAAATGCGAAAATCAGCCGGGCATGGTGGTGCAAGCCTGTAATCCCAGCTACCTGGGAGGCTGAGCCAGGAGAATGGCTTGAACCCAGGAGGTAGATAGAGGCTGCAGTGAGCTGAGATGGCCACTGATCTCTAGCCTGGGTGACAGAGCAAAACTCAGTCCCCCCCTAAAAAATATATGTATATATGTATACATAAAAATAAATAACTATTGTACACTCAGAGCTCCTCTCTTTTAATTAATTTTAGTTTAATCTTCTAAGTAGTAAGCTATTTAATAATTTGCTACATTTTATTCCTAGTTTACTATCATTTAGTTCATATATTTAGCCCATAATGTTGTCATACACCTTCAGATTAACATCTAGGAAAATCAAGTGCAGAGGCAATAGAAGAGTAAGAATCTCAGGAACACAGTGTCTGGTGAGATACTGGTTTCACTAATTCAACGCAATTTAAATATTCATAAATATATTCTTAAAGTGTTCTTGAGAGCCCTCTGGGAGTACGTTGAAGGATCTGGTTAGATACTTAAAACTGCTTCAGACCTTTTAAGACTAGTCACAAGCCATCCACATCTTGTAAGAATTCTACAGATTAAAAAAATGAGAACATCTTTACAATAAAAAAACAATGTTTAATTAAAAGACTGAAAAATGTATTTCCAAAGTAAAAAAAAGTAGTAAAATGTTGTTTTAGAAAAATTGAAGAAATTGAGAAAGCATAGATTAAAAGAATATAATATAAAGAGAGTAAAAGTAGAAATGTTCATTGCTAACATCTTATCGTCCTGGAGTATTTCTGAAGTATTTCACAAAAACAGTACCATATTATCCATGCTAGTTTGCAGCTTGCTTAATTTTGCTTAAAAATGCAAAGTGAGGAACTTCTTGTGCCAGATATCAGTGAGGCACCCTGCTTCCTCCCAAGAGTCTACCTTAACAGGGTGCCCTCTATCCGTCTCTTCATTTCTTTTCTTTTCTTTTTCTTTTTCTTTTTTTTTTTTTTTTTTTTTTTTTTTGAGGTGGAGTCTCACTCTGTTACCCAGGCTGGAATGCAGTGGCACAGTCTGGGCTCACTGTAGTAATCGCTGCTTCCGTGGTTCAAATAATTCTTCTTCCTCAGCCTCCCAAGTAGCTGGGATTACAGGTGTGTGCCACCACACCTGACTGATTTTTTATTGTATTTTTAGTAGAGATGGGATTTCACCACGTTGGCCAGGCTACTCTTGAACTCCAGACCTCAGGTGATCTGCCCGCCTTGGCCTCCCAAAGTGCTGGGATTACAGGCTTGAGCCACCACACCCAGCCTCATTTCTTCATTTGTAAGGAGTGTTTTTAGGCAGGAGTTAGAGGTTGGCAGAAGAGTGATGAGAGGAATAAGCCCTGTTGGAGGGTAAATTAAGACGTACATTGTACAGCTTCTAGTTAGTTTTGAATAAACTGTTAGATGTATGCAGAATTAGCTGAAGTAAGCACTGTTTTGGTCAGTTTTCTTGTACAGATCCAAAAAGAGTTGAATTTAGCTTATCGTTTAGGAGAAAAAAAGTCTTTAAATACCAAGAACTGGTGTGTGCATAATGTATACACCTAGACTGAAATACAGAACCTTGGCTGGGCGTGGTGGCTTATGCCTATAATCCTAGCACTTTGGGAGGGGAGACGTGTGGAATGCTTGAGCCTAGAAGTTCAAGACCAGCCTCAGTAACATGGTAAAACCCTGTCTCTACAAAAAATACAAAAATTAGCTGTGTGTGGTGGTGCATCCCTGTAGTTCCAGCTACTTGAGAGACTGAGGTGGGAGGACCTCTTGAGCCTGGAAGTCAGAGGTTGCAGTGAGCTGAGATTATGCCATTGCACTCAAGTCTAGACAACAGTGTGAGACCCTGTTTTAAAAGTAAATAAGTAGGCCGCGCAGTGCTTCACACCTGTAATCCCAGCACTTTGGGAGGCTGAGCTGGGTGGAACACAAAGTCAAGAGATAGAGACCATCCTAGCCAACGTGATGAAACCCTGTCTCTACTAAAAATACAAAAATCAGCTGAACGTGGTGGCGTGCGCCTGTAGTCCCAGCTACTCAGGAGGCTGAGACAGGAGAATTGCTTGAACCCAGGAGGCGGAGGTTGCAGTGAGCCGAGATTGCACCGCTGCACTCCAACCTGGCGCCTGGTGACAGAACAAGACTCTCTCAAAAATAAATAAATAAATAAATAAATAAAATAAGTAAATATAGAACCTCAAGTTATTGTTATGGGGTGCTGATGGATGCCTCTTTAAATTAAATTAAAACAAGAAGCCTAATAGGAATTCATAGAACACTTTTTGCTCAGGCTGGAGTGCAGTGGCATGATCTGGCTTATTGCAGCCTGCGCTTCCCAGGTTCAAGTGATTCTTTCTCCCCTGCCCCCCCTGCAACAGCTTCCCAGATAGCTAGAATTACAGATGCTCACCACCATGCCCGGCTAATTTTTGTATTTTTAGTAGAGACTGGGCTTCACCATGTTGGTCAGGCTGGTCTTGAACTCCTGACCTCAAATGATCCACCTGCCTCAGCCTCCCAAAGTGCTGGGATTACAGGCGTGAGCCACTGCGCCCAGCCAACACTTTTTCTTGTTGAAAGATACTGCTCGGGAAGAAAAAAAGGGCGGTATTATTAGACATGTTTTAGTCTGCATGTGTTATGCAGAGCTTTCCTTAATGACATCAAGAATTGACAAAAGAAGAGGTGAAATGTTACTACTATTTTTTGAATTTTTTTCTTTCTTTGTTTTTTTTTTTAAGGTGGCTATCATCCAGTGAAAATTGGAGACCTCTTCAATGGCCGGTATCATGTTATTAGAAAGCTTGGATGGGGGCACTTCTCTACTGTCTGGCTGTGCTGGGATATGCAGTAAGTGTTCTTTGTCATTTGCATATTTGTTTCCTGGAGTAGCCCAGATCTGTGTTCTAATAGGGTATGGCTGAGGGTCACAACTGCTTTGTTGAGGTATGTGAAGTGCTTAGCGCAGGCCTGCCTCAGTTGGCTAGATTCCTTCCCGCCCCCCTGCCTTAGTTCGAAGTTCATTTCAAATCTTAAAATGTTGTTTCCAGCTTTATTGTGAAGTTTATTCATTGAAATTGCTTTGCATAGGGATCATATTATTTTTCTAGTAATTTGTCCATATCATACTAACATAATGTATAGTCCAGGCCAGGCGTCCCCATACTTTTTACACAGGGTGCCAGTTCACTGTCCCTCAGACCGTTGGAGGGCCGCCACATACTGTGCTCCTCTCACTGACCACCAATGAAAGAGGTGCCCCTTCCTGAAGTGTGGTGGGGGGCCGGATAAATGGCCTCAGGGGGCCGCATGTGGCCCGCGGGCTGTAGTTTGGGGATGCCTGGTCTAGGCTTTTCAATATATAGGATTTTCAAATCAATCGTTCCTAACTTTTCAAAGCCATGACCCCTAGTAAGAAACTTCATTGCTACTCCGCATATATAAACATATGTATTTTGTGCGTGCCTCTGTGTGTACTGAAGCAAAAGTGTTAGAAGAGAATAATTTTTCATACTGTTCAGTTGGTGTATAACATATGTGAAAACTGTTACTTTTCTAGTCTTATTTTAATTAGGGAAAAAACAAAACAACAAAGCATAAAAGAGATTCTCTTGACCCATGCTAATTAAATGTGGTCCTCTAGTTTGGAAAGTACTGTTTTAAAGGAATGCTTGTATTCCTGTTTATTGGATAGATCTGATAACAAGTTGAATATCCGGTATCTGAAATGCTTGAGACCAGAAGTGTTTTGGATTTTGGAATGTTTGTGTGTCTACGCAATCAAGTATCTTGGAGAAGGGACCCAAGTCTAAACACAAAATTCATTATATTTCATATACACTGTATAAGCAGCCTGAAGGCAATTTTATACAATATTTTAAATAATGTTGTGCACGATGCAAAGTTTTTACTGAGTTTTGATTGCAGTCAGAGGTGGAATTTTACACTGTGGCATCATGTTGACACACTCATAATGTTTAGGTTTTGGAGGGTTTTGGATTTTACATTTTCAGTTAGGGATGTTCAACCTGTATGCAAGTGATTTCTTTTACTGATAATGTAGATAAATGGGCTTTTTTTTTTTTTTTTTTAAAGGGGGAAAAGATTTGTTGCAATGAAAGTTGTAAAAAGTGCCCAGCATTATACGGAGACAGCCTTGGATGAAATAAAATTGCTCAAATGTGTAAGTAGTTTAAAAATGTGAATGATATAAGAAAAATTTAATGACTTAAAATCTTACAGAAAGATTTTTCTGGGTAGTACTAAATTAAAGTCAGGTTTGGCTGGGTGCGGTGGCTTATGCCTGTAATCCCAGCACTTTAGGATCCCAAAGTGGGCGGATCACTTGAGATCGAGACCAGCCTGGCCAACGTGGCAAAACCCTGTCTCTACTAAAAATAGCCAGGTATGGTGGTGGGTGTCAGTAATCCCAGCTACTTGGGAGGCTGAGACATGAACATCACTTGAACTTGGGAGACAGCGGTTGCATGAGTCGAGATGGCACCAGTGCACTGGGCAGCAGTGATACTTCATGTAAGAAGAAATAAATAAGTAAAAATGAAAATAAATAACTTCAAGTGATGAATTTTTTTATTTTAAAGAATCACTTTTATTTAAACAGTATTGGTGTTATAATGGGAAAACATGCTTTGTCTTAAACTTCTGTGTCCTTGGCATTCATTTTTCTTGGCATAGGTTCGAGAAAGTGATCCCAGTGACCCAAACAAAGACATGGTGGTCCAGCTCATTGACGACTTCAAGATTTCAGGCATGAATGGGATACGTATCCTTTACTTCCTGATTTATATTGGAAATATATCAAGTTCCTGTAACTTCTGATTGTTGCTGTATCACCCTCAACACCTTCAACATAAACAAACTCTCTAGGAACATTGTCAAGTATTGTAAAGTGGTCCGTCTAGGGTGGTTTGCATTGCTCTTTGGGGTTTTTCGTGTAGTAGTATCTGAGAAACTTATTTTTAACACAATAGGTTGACTTAATTTTGGTGTGGAATTGATTTTTGATCTTTTTCTGTTAATTGTGGTAAAGTTTTATTTTATTTATTTTTGCTGTGGTAGATAAAAGTATATGTCCGCAACACTTCTTCGTGTTTTAAGCTTTCTAAAACCAGTATACAGGAACAATCTGTGTGTGCCCCAGTGGCTGCAATGCACCATGTGAGAATGGAGCATTGGTTAAAATAAAAGGAATAATGCTATATAAATATCCACATCCGAAGGTGGCACTTGAGTACTCTTAGTTCTGAATAATACTGTTTGCCGATTTCTGTTTCCAGAATGATACAACTGAGCCTTTCAAATAATTGTCCTACAGAGGCTCACCTTTCTGTCAGGTGAATATGGAAACATTTTTGTTTTCTTGATTTTATTCCCAGTTATCTGCACTGCAAAAGTTTAGAAAAAGTAAAATGATACATTTTCTATACTCCTTGGTAAATCTGACATAAGCCTGTGCTTCATAGAAAATACCTTTATTGCTGGGCATGGTGGCTCATGCCTGTAATCTCAGCACTTTGGAAGGTTGAGGCGGGCAGATCACAAGGTTAGGAGATTGAGACCATCCTGGCTAACGTGGTGAAACCGTCTCTACTAAAAATACAAAAAAATAGCCGGTGTGGTGACACACCCCTGTAGTCCCAGGCTACTCAGGAGGCTGAGGCAGGAGAATCACTTGAACCCAGGAGGTGGAGGTTTGCAGTGAGCCAAGATTGTGCCACTGCACTCTAGCCTGGGTGACAGAGCGAGACTCTGTCTCAAGGAAAAAAAAAGAATGAAAATACTTTTATTGTTTTTCTTCACAAATTTTATTGGGAGAAATTTCAAACATATATGAAAGAAGAGAGTATACTACAATAAATTTTTTTAAGTTTGTCACTCACGTTTAATTTTTGTTATGGTTTGGCCATAATGTTCCATCTGTCTTTTCTTGCTAAATTATTATAGAGCAAATTCTAGAAGTCATGTCCTTTTACTTTGGTGACTGTCATTGTGAATCTTTGAAAAAATATGAACTTTTAAACAAACATAGCCATAAAACTCACCAAAGACATTTACAGTTTTTTGGTATTGAATCAGATATCCTTGGTATTGGAGACCTCTTCATTCAGATTTCCTTGGTATTGTAAAAATGAATTTTTAAAGACAAATTTGAATGATTTTTAACAATATTGTTTACTCCTAAGTTTATATTGACTTACTTCAGTTGTTCAGCTAAAGATTAATTTGTTCAATTTACGTTTTTCTCTTTATTGTTAGAATATGATACACAGAGTATTTGAATTATCCTGACAAAAGTTAATGATTCTTAATAGAGGAAAGTGTTTCTTGGTCAGCTATAAGATTTGGTGTTTCTCATGTTTTTTAAAAAAGGATGGCCTTAGTCCTAATACTAGGTATCTTTGGAAGTGTGTCTAGTAAGAAGACAAGCAAAGATGTCTCTTGACTTTTCTTTCTTTTTTGAGAATATCAGTTTTGACCATGCTGCTAAGTTATGTGGCTGCCTGTTGTTTTTGATGGGGACTCAGGAGGAAATGATTTAGGATTGTAGAAAGGGTTTGCATCTTATCCTTGTCCTTCCTCCACCTGAGGACTTGGCAAAGGATAGCTCCTGGGGACCAAAGTATCCCAAAACCTGTAGCTCAGAGAAGAGAGGAAAATTGAAGAGAAAATGACTTTAGTTTCATGAATACTTTTTCTGTATGTGCATGTTGGGTCCTCTGAGATAGCCCTTTGTGTGCTTTTCAAAGGTTCCGGAAAATTGGACCACTTATTCAGAGGCACATGATTGATGGGTGCTAAGTTGTGTCAATAGCTGTGGTCTTCTGGCTTCTCTCAGATTTTTTGCTCTTTATATCATGTTTGGAACAGATCTACCATTTTGGTATTTTACTTTCACAGATGTCAGAAGCCTAAGGATAAGACTTTTTCCCAGATTTAAACTCTAAAATTACATCCAGTTTATACTAAGTCATGATCAATTAGGGAAGCATTTCCTTCACTCTGTATATTTGAGAAGGTTTTTATACAAGGAATTGTCACCAAGTTCATAGAAAAATTAGATTAAAAGATAACTTTATTTTTCACACAAGTTTCATCAAGTTGAAGACACTTTTGGAAACAATGATACCAGCCATTTAGTTGATCCCCAAAGAACCAAGGGTCCTTGGAATTTAACCATTTTGGTGCAGTCTTTTTAAAATTACTAACTGAAGAAAAGTGGGTGCCCTTTTTAAGATTAGGAAACAACAATTAGTAGTAGCCAAATAAGGATTATAAGGTGGACATCTGTTGAATTTCCATTGAAATTCTCACAAAATTGCCCTTGTTTGTTGAGAGGAATGAGTGGGAACATTTACATGGTGGAGAAGGACTACCTGGTGAAGTTTTCTCAGGTATTTTCCTGCTAAAGCATTGGTTGACTGTCTTAAAAAAATCTCATAATGAGCAGGTGTTACCATTTTTTGGCCCTCCATAAAGTCAACAAGCAAAATGCCTTGAGCATCCCAAAAAACTGTTGCCATAGCTTTGCTCTTCACTGCTCCACTTGTGCACTGACTGGACCATTGCCACCTCTGGATAGTCATTTTTTGATTGTGCTTTGTCTTCAGGATGACACTGTAGAACCATGTTTTAGTTCTTGTTACAGTCCTTTGAAGAAACGCTTCAGGATCTTGATCCTACCTTTGAAAATTTCCATGGAAAGCTCTGCTTTTGTCTTGATCTGGGAGCATTGGTTTTGGCACCCATTGAGTGGAAAGTTTACTCAACTTTAATTTTCAATCAGAATTGCCTAAGTTGAACTAGTCATGATGTCTGTGGTGTCGGCTCTTGTTTGTGCTTTTGTCTGTCGTCTTCAATTAGGGCGCAAACTTTTCTTACAAACAAGTGGACATGAATGATCTGCCGTTACAGGCTTCATCTTCAATATTATCTCATCCTTCTTAAAACAGGTTATCCATTTGTAAACTGCTGACTTCTTTGGGATATTGTCCCCCACATACTTAATGAAGCATCAGTCATTTCACCATTCTTTTACAGAGGCTTCATCTTAAATTTGATGTTTGTTATTGCTTCGATTTTAGAATTCATGTTACTCTGATAGAGGCTTTTTTCAAACTGATGTCCTATCTTGTTAGTGCCTCAAACTAGATTCTGTTCAGATATGTTAACAAACTAGTATGAGTTTATTATGATGCAAAAAATTTTTTGACATTTATGCATAGTGTTGCATTTCCATAAACTTTTTGAAAATCTATGATATTTCTTCTAGAAATTCATCTTGAGTATACTAGGAAATAACAATGGCTGCTAATGTTACCTCATCCTTTTTCTCAGTTAATTTCTGCTACCTGCTGAGTATATTTTTCCTATTAGATAGATAAATAGGTAGGTAGAGAGCAGCAGGGCAGTCACTTCTTTTCTGTCTGACCTGCAAGGACTTCCTTGGGACAGCTAATAGAACATTTCTTGGGAGAAATTACTCATGTGGGTAAATAGAGGTTTTTGAAATACACATTCTAGTGAAGAAATCATCAGAGTCCAGATGTGCCAATACTTTGAGAAGACTTACATTATGTTTTGGAAATCCTGGGCCTTGACCCTATGCCTGCTGCTAAATTTAGTTCTTAAATAATTTGCCGTTTTTGTAATAAGCCTGGGAAATAGTAAGAAACTTCTGGCTTTAGACGATCTGTGCATAAATCCGTATTGCTTACATTCTTCAACAGTATAGAAAGATTTCCCTTTTTTCACTAAAGATGTTTAAAATAATACTGTGTTAATGTGGTATATTCAGTTATTATAGTTCATTAATTAAGTCAACTACTTTTTTTGGATACTAAAGTCAACCTCCAGGGATCAACAAAATGTTTTCTGAGGGTTTCAGAGCCATTTGGAATCTTCCTGTATGAATGACATGAATATATTTATATTAAGAAATTGGAGGTATCATAGTTGCGAAGGCTGAAATGCCTACTTTTTTAAAAAAAATTAATCTGGGGCCAGGTGCAGTGTCTCATGCCTGTTTTCCCAGCATTTTGGGAGGCTGAGGTGAGTATATCACGAGATCAGGAGTTTGAGACCAGCCTGGCCAACGTGGTGACACCCTATCTCTACTAAAAATGCAAAAATTAACCAGGTGTGGTGGCACATCCCTGTAATCCCAGCTATTTGGGAGGCCGAGGCAGAAGAATTGCTTAAACCTGGGAGGTGAACGTTGCAGTGAGCCAAGATTGTGCCACTGCACTTCAGCCTGGGTTACAGAATGAGACTGCATCTCAAAAATAAAATAAGCTGGGCATAGTAGTTTTCTGACTACTGGGGAAGCTAAGGCAAGAGAATAACTTTAGCCCAGGAGGTCTAGGCCAGCCAAGGCAGGATAGTGAGAACCTGTCTTTTTAAGAAATGAAAATCTAGATTCCTGAGATGTTATTTTTAGATTAAGTCTTAATACCATATCTTAAATGGTAATCATACGTTCTTAACAGCTGCCTATAGTATTAAAATTGATTTAGTTGTACAGTGTAAGATACTATTCAAGGAAAAGATTAAATAGGCTTATAATGTGTTTTATGTAACTTATCAAATAGAAATTTAGGTAGACAGTTAGGACAGTTGAGACACAGAAGTTCTGTTTCACTTCAGTTCCTAGGAGGTTTGAGTCTTGCCTGTTTCATTAGGCTGATTTTTAAGGAGTGTGCTCAGATGGATGAGAGTGCAGCTCAGTGTGGGCACTTTATGAGTACACTCTACACCTAGAAAGTGACATGTCCTCATGTCTACAGTGGGGTTAATTACATTATTGCCTAAGGTTGTTTGGAATACATGCAAAATAATAAATATATGTCACAGAGTAAGTACCCTTAGCCCTTTGTATCTGCAGTTTCCCCATTCATAGATTTAATAAACCTTGGATGAAAAATATTTGGGAAACACCTGTAAAAAGTAATACAAATTAAAAAATAGAGTATATCAACTATTTACATAGCATTTACACTTTATTAGGTATTGTAAGCAATCTAGACATGATTTAAAGTATGTGGAAGGGGTCTGGCGCAGTGGCTCACACCTGTAATGCCAGCTCATTGGGAGGCCGAAGCAGGTGGATCAGGAGTTCCAGACCAGCCTGGCCAGGCTGGAGTTCAGGAAGCAGGGGGTCAGGAGTTCCAGACCAGCCTGGCCAAGATGGTGAAACCCTATCTCTACTAAAAATACAAACAATTACCTGGGCGGGGTGGCACGTGCCTGTAATCCCAGCTACTCAGGAGGCTAAAACAGGATAATCGCTTGAACCCAGGAAGTGGAGGTTGCAGTGGTGAGCCAAGATCGCGCCATTGTACTCTAGCCTGGGCAGCAGAGTGAGACTCTTTCTCCAAAAAAAAAAAGTGGAAGGATGTGAATAGGTTATATATCTTATATATGCTATACCAGTTTATTGAAGAGGCACACATATGTGGATACTGATAAACTTGAGAGTGGTCCTGGGACCAATTCCCTGAGATACTGGGAAACAACTGTACTTAGTAATGTCAGTTCTTGTTGCCAGTGTTGATGTTGTATTTTATAAAGTAATAAATGCTTTGCAAGTGACACAATGTTGCTGCTTTCAATTGAACTGCCTCACTCCAGGCCACACATCCCCCAGTGATCCTTAACTGTGTCCCAGATGTCTGCATGGTCTTCGAAGTGCTTGGTCACCATCTCCTCAAGTGGATCATCAAGTCCAACTATCAAGGCCTCCCAGTACGTTGTGTGAAGAGTATCATTCGACAGGTGAGGCTTTTGATAGCAACCCCTAGGCACTAGTACCTAATTGGCTAGGCTTTCAAACATGAATGCCATTTAAGAATATATATATATATATATATATATATATATATATATATATATATAATCTCATATGTATCAGTGCATAACATTTTGAACTCTAATTAAGCCTATTAATATTTATTTAATGATATTTTATGTTGTGAAGGAAGCAATATGGAATTATCAGGTACGCATTTTTGCGTGTCATATTTTTAAGGAATTACATGGTACAGTCACATTGTTTTTGTTCAGTATCTTTACGATAAAACATGCCACTTTGTTCATTAGGAAGTAATGTAGAAGAAAGAACTTACTGTGTTTATTTACTAAGTATTCTTAGAGAGTAAATAATAGATAATTGAAGAGTTGTGCACAACGTTTCAGTTATAAGGTGGTTACATTTTGGGGCTCTAATGTACAGCATGATGACTGTAGCTAACATTCTTGTATATTTGAAATTTGTTAACAGAGTAGATCTTGAATGTTCTCATCATGCACATGAACAGTCCATGTGTCATAATGGGTTAGGTTAATTAGCTGTTCTGTGGTAGTCATTTCACAGTGACACGTATTTCTAGACATGTAGTACACTACTAATATATTCAGTTTTTATTGTCAGTTGTACCTCAGTAAAGCTGGAGAAAAATAGAAATGTTTAACTGATGTAATAATTACTGTATTAGACGGGCGTTTTGTTCAGTTGCCCTTCCAGAAGAAAACCCTCAGCTGGGGTCAGGCTTAGAGACGACGCTCTGGTAAATATTCTCCTAATTAGCAGTGTTTGCCCAGTCTAGTTTTCTGCATGGAATCAGTATGTTTTCTACTCGTTGCCATTAAAAATTTTGAAGTTTAAATTTGTGTAGCAAAAGCATTTTTGATATTTCTGTTGAATTTGTGTACAGATCACTTTGTTTAGCCTGCCTGTGTGTTCATCTCTTCACTTTTTCCTTTTGTACGGAAGTTGTTTGATTTAATTTAATTAATTAACTTATTTATTTTTGGAGACGGAGTCTCGCTGTGTCAACCAGGCTGGATGACAGATTGTGCAGTGGCGCAGCCTCAGCTCATTGCATCCTCCGCCTCATCCTCCCGAGTAGCTGGGACTACAGGTGCCTGCTACCGTGTCCAGCTAATTTTTGTATTTTTAGTAGAGATGGGGTTTCAGCATGTTACCCAGGGTGGCCTCAAACGCTTGAGCTCAGGCAGTCTGCTTGCCTCTGTTTTCCAAGTGATAGGATTACAGGCATGAACCACTGTGCCCAGCCTTGTATGGAAAATTGGCAGCTTGTTCTCTAACATTACAGATGTTATTGAAAAGAGGGGCTGGAGAGAGAGAAGTTCACTATGTTGTCTCCTCTGTCAGTTGGATTGAGGTGCTTCTACATAGTATTATGCTAGGTATATATGTAAACCTGGATTTGTGGCTAACTTTTGTTTAGTACTATATCTGCTTGCCCTTGGATTTCAAATAGTGGCACTTTTATTCATTATTTTGACAGGCTCATATCTCAAATGAACAGCTTTAATGTAGAAGAGGTTATGTGGTGGCTGGGCGCCGGTGGCTCACACCTGTAATCCCAGCACTTTGGGAGGCTGAGGTGAGCAGATCACAAGGTCTGGAGATCGAGACCATCTTTGCCAACAGAGTGAAACCCTGTCTACTAAAAATGCAAAAAAAATTACCTGGGTATGGTGGCGTATGCCTGTGATCTCAGCTACTTGGGAGGCTGAAGCAGGAGAATCACTTGAACCAGGTAGTTGGAGGTTGCAGTGAGCCAAGATCACGCCACTGCACTCCAGCCTTGTGAAAGAGCAAAACTCTTGTCTCTAAAAACAAAACAAAACAAAACAAAACAAAACAAAAAAAACAAAAAAAACAACAGGAGGTTTTGTGGTAGGGGTACAAATGAGTATGTTAACTGGAATTATTTGATCCCTAAACAATACTTCTGTATTATTTGTAACATTTAGCAGCAACTCTGAACTGAAAAAAACAAACTATATTGTTAAAACTTGGGAAGAGGCTGGGCGCGGTGGCTCAAGCCTGTAATCCCAGCACTTTGGGAGGCCGAGGCGGGTGGATCACGAGGTCGAGAGATCGAGACCATCCTGGTCAACATGGTGAATCCCCGTCTCTACTAAAAATACAAAAAATTAGCTGGGCATGGTGGCTCGTGCCTGTAATCCCAGCTACTCAGGAGGCTGAGGCAGGAGAATTGCCTGAACCCAGGAGGCGGAGGTTGCGGTGAGCCGAGATCGTGCCATTGCACTCCAGCCTGGGTAACAAGAGCGAAACTCCGTCTCAAAAAAAAAAAAACTTGGGAAGAATCTCCTAATTATTTTTGATAAATCTTGAAAATATTAAAGGAATTATGTATTCTAACATACTGAATAATTTCAGAAATAGCTGCCTGCATGTATTTCCCACAGACTCCATCATTTCCTAGAACCTCATGCTTTCAGAGGAACCTGCTATGGCCTTAAGTGACTGACCACACCACCATTTAGGCTTAGTATGTAAGAAGGTGAATTTGGTTGTGTGCAGTGGCTCACATCTATAATCCCAGCACTTTGGGAGGCCGATGTGGGCAGATCACGAGGTCAGGAGTTTGAGACCAGCCTGGCCAACATGGTGAAACCCTGTTCCGTCTCTACTAAAAATACAAGAATTAGCTGGACGTGGTGGCAGGTACATGTAATCGCAGCTACTTGGGAGGCTGAGGCAGAATTGCTCGAACCCAGGAGGCAGAGGTTGCGGTGAGCTGAGATTGTGCCGCTGTATGCCGTTGCACTCCATTCTGGACAACATAGCAAGACTCTGTCTCAAAAAAAAAGAAAAAGAAAAAAAGAAGGTAAATTTGCAGATGAGCAGATTGATGTTTATTTTATATTCTCGAGAAGGAAAAGAAAATCTGACCTTAGCAAGTTGAAGGAGTCTATAAATTGAAAGATGAAAATACGAGATTCAGTGGAACCTCAGTGCATCCTTGTTGAATGAACCAAAGATTTAATAAGTCAATGTGCGTACTTGGTTTTGTTTTTCGAGGCAGGGTCTTGATCTGTTACCCAGGCTGGAGTGCAGTGGTCAATCACAGCTCACTGCAGCCTTCAGCTCCTGGGCTCAAGTGATCCTCCCAGGTCAGCCTCCTAAGTATCTGGGACTGCAGGCATTTACTACCATGCCAGCTCATTTTTATTTTTTGTAGAGACAGGGTTTCACTATGTTGTTAAGGCTGGTCTCTTGAGTCCACTCCTGGACTCAAGCAATCTTCCCACCCCAGCCTCCCAGAGTTGCTAGGATTGTAGACAAGAGCCATCACACCTGGCCAATGCATGTGTTATCCTCACTGTAATTCATGTACCCTGTCTTTTGTGGAAATTTAGAAAGATCTCTTGCATTATTTCTTTACTCCAGAAAAATTGATGATGAACATTTTTTTCTGTCATATGGTCTGCACATTATTCTTATATGCAGTGTTAATGGAACTTTGGTTTGGTTTTGGTTTTGTGTGTGTGAACCCATCTTTTCTTAAGAAAAATCTTACGGAATTTGGATTTTTTCCCCCTTAGCTTACCTAGAACTTTGAGTATAGTAAATTGTTCAAGAAATTATGTATTCCAGTTAATAATCTTCTTACCCAAGATTTCCATTTAATCCCTTTGATTCAGCCTGTGGATTCAGTATTTCTTTCTCCTGGGTAGTGCTAGGAAGATTTTTTTTTATTGCAGATTGTCACAATTAAGCCATTTCCCAGAATAAGCCAGAGCAGGCCAGTTTTCTTAGTATTTCTTAGTATCTTTTTACCATAGAACTTCTTCACCATAGGAGTCAGGGATAGCTGATCACATTCCAGTTATTCTTCTTGCTCTGTCACTTGCTATGCTTCCCCAGGAACCCAACTGTGGAACTCTTCTGTGCCATGTCTGTTGCTCTCGATGTTCTTTCTCTTTCTACTGCTGTTGTCCTTAGTTCAGGACACTTACTACCTCCAGCCAGTACCTTTTTATAGGCTTCTCTTGGCCCTGCATGCATACAGCCCATCCAATTCCTGGTCACTGTTCCGGTTTATTCACCTTTCTGTTGCCAGTGAAACCTTGCTTTAATGACTCATATTCCCATTTAGAATCCTTGAGTGGCTGCCCATTGCCTGCCTGCTAAAGCTTTACGTTCTTGGCCTTCATGAAACAATGTATGCAATTATTAAGAGCTTGGGTTTGGAATCAAATACACCCTACTTTCACCAAAGAAAGGGTTTTGGCTAGGTTACCTACCTTCTGTAAACCACAGTTTTATCATCAATAAAAGTGGGAATAATAATGATACCAGCTGGGTGTGGAGGTTCATGCCTATAATCCCAGCACTTTGGAAGGTTGAGGTGGGAGGATTGTTTGAGGCCAAGAGTTCAAGACCAGCCTGGGCAACATTGCAAGACTCTGCCTCTACAACAAAAATTTAAAAATTAGCCGGGTGTGATGGCATCCACCTGTGGTCCCAGCTACTTGGGAGGCTGAGGTCTGAGGATCACTTGAGCCCAAGAGGTCAAGGCTGCAGTGAGCCATGATGGTACCACTGTACTCTAGCCTGTGTGACTTAATAAGACTGTCTGTTTAAAAAAACAAAAACAAAAACGGTACCTTCCTTATTAGCTTATTGCAAAGATGCAATGAGAGATAGCACTGTGAATAGTAGGTTAATTCAGTGCTTACTGTGTGCCAGGCATAATTGAGTACTTTGTGGTAGCTGAGTTCACTGAATCCTCACAGTAACCCTATGAAATGGATATTATTGCTTTCCTGATTTCATCAAGTGGAAACAGAAGCCCAGAGAGGTTAACTATCTTGCCCTTAGTTAGGAAGTAGCTTAAAAAGTGCCAAGTGGTGGAGCAGGAATACAAACCCAAATACTCTGGCTTCAGAGGTCATGGATATACCATCTTGCCATTATATAATGAGTTTTATGTAAT